TTCCTGATCTGCTGTCAGTCACATCTTCTCTCGTTTTTCTTTAACAGAATAATATGGATTGTCCTGCTCTGTGTCTCCATAGTTAAGCCAGATCCCATATAGTCAACCATGATGTTTGAGTCCCGGACCTGGTGACTTGAAAAACACACTGGGCACATGCACATACACCCAAAATCCCAACAAGAGGGAAAAACAAAGACGAGATTGCAGCATGACCATTGCCCATTTTGGAATGATTTCTCCTCTCCCTTTCTGTCTGATCAATACATGTACCCTCTAACAAAAAAAAAAAAAAAAAAGAAATGGACTGAAGAATTCTTTGCTCTTTCCAGTTAGGTGGTAATTCCCCTAAGCAGACAAAAGTCGGAAGGCAGCCACCCAGAGAGAAGCAAAAGCCTGAATGCACAGAGCCTGGGAGCGACTGGGAAGGCCCCCAGGTTTAGCCCCCTGCAGACTGGGGTCCCTCCACCCTCGTAGTACTTCCCTGGAGATGAGCTAGCCGGCCACAAATACTACAAGACTTCAGGGAGAGGCAGACAGAAGGGCAGGGTGGACACACAAAGCAAGGTTTTACAACTACATACAAGCATGTTTAAATACGGCGTACACTGCAGTTTAAGATCAGCGCCATTACTCTGAATCTACAAAGTACGCCAAGAGAGAGCACCAGTTCATGGGCAGCCATGAAGTTGCTGCTGCTAGGTGGTTTTGTTTCTGTGTTTTGCCATGGGGTGCATGCATTTGCTAGAGAGAGAAGGAAAGTGAGAAATCACCCCTGGGGGCATAGCCACGCCACAGTCCCTTGTCCATTCTCCTCTTGGGATTTTGGCTGCAACCACACAGGGGCCAGGGGTGTGGGGGTTTTTTTTATTGTTTTGTTTTGTTTGAAGAGAGGTTTTTGCTATAGGGCACGTATGCTTGCTGGAAATACAGATAGACAAAAAGCGAAAAATCACCCTCCAGGGGGGATGGCCACGACACAATCCCTTCTCCTCCATTCTCCTCTGGGGATCTTGGACATGCATACACATGTGCCCCGGTGTGAGTCTAAGTCACCAGGTCCAGGACTCAAACGTGGAGAGCCACATGAAGTCCAGCAATGTAATCATATGCCATCTGTTAGTACTGGGCCAGGTGTATTTTTCAATGTGCTGGGTCCAGGACTCAAACAATGCACTCAGCATGTGGGATCCAGCACCTTTACTACATGTACCCACTGGTCCTAGGTGGACAGTTTTATCAAAATTTCAGCTCCAGTTACTGAAATAATGCATTGGATGTATTGAGTCATCAGAAAAGTCAGGATGCATTTTTGCATAAACAGAAAAAAATACATCATGACTTTTCTGACAACCCAGTATTTTACATGTCTAGTTTATGAAGCACTTTTAGAACTGGGAAATCCTGTGAAGTGCTTAGATACAGGTTCTGGAATCAGCTGAGATGGGGTAAGTGAACTCCAACTCATCTTTCTGTCATCAAGCTGCAGTTTGGGCATGAATTTTTCATGTCGTTGTTAAAGACGGAGTCTCGCTATGTTGCCCAGGTCAGCTTCTGACTCCCAGTCCTCCTGCTGGGAATTTCAGGTACACACCACCACACCCAGCCTGTAGACTGGACCAGAAATCAAACCCGTCCCTGCCACGTGGTCCCATCCTGCAGCGCACAATGCCTCAGCAGCACATGCACTGTGGCCAGGCCTGTAGATGAGACTGAGAAACGCTGCAAGATCTGGGGACGTTACCACCCCCTAAGTGTCTCCAGACACAGAGAGGGCAGCCAAAATCTCGACTCTCTGTCTGGAGTGCTCTTCTGAGACCCCATATATTCTCTTGTTGGGAAATAATAGCATGGGCCCTCATTGCACCATTTAGGAAATGTCATTCTACCTCTCATCAAGTATGAGCGTTACAGTGAAGCTTCCCTTCAGAGGTTACAGGTAAAACAACTTAGTCCTGTTAAAACTTCTAATGCCAACATGTGATGAAAGACTACGTGAAATTACACATTAAGATCACTTCTACCTACAGAATAGTAAAGATACCTGCTTGGATATCAAAGACAGGGAGCTGATTTCTAAGCTATGACAGCACTAAAAAAAATAAATAAATAAAATCACAGCTTTCTTCACTGCTGTGCTGAGTCCTGGTCTCCTGACCCAAAATCTGCATTACCACTTCAAAGTCTCAGCTTTCTCCTACATAAAAATGGAGCCCAGATTATGTTCCCAATTCCGATGATTTAGACTAAAGACAGTATGGAATTTAGTGATGAGGAGAAACTTGCTTTTGCACAAAAACCACGCCAGGTCAGGATCCACTTTGAGAATCCCACTAGAAACGAACAGTCCTGTGGATTTGGATTTACATGGCATCAGTTTTGTGTTTGGGTTCCAACCTCTCACTACCTGGGAATCCTGGGGACTGTGTCCAATTCCTCTCTTGGAGAGTTGGAGAAAGGCTTCTAGGGACCAGCAGATGGTATAAAGGTTAGGTCGCTGGACTTCCACATACTCGACCACTGTTCGAGTACTAAACCTGGTAGCTTACAACTCGCCAGGCACATGTGTGTGTACGCCCCAAATCCCAAGAGCAGAATGAAGAAACGATTGCAGCATGGCCATCCTCCCAGTGTGAGGAGGGGTAGCTTTCTTGCTTTCTGTCTCTCTGTTTCTCTGCCTCTCTGGTGAGTGCACGCACCCTATAGTAAATATCTCTCTGAAAACAAACAAACAAACAAAAACAAAAAAGAAGAAGACTTCTAACTCTGACTCTGGTTGGCATTTCAGAGTTTTTTGTGGCTATCCAAAACTGTACATGAAACAGGAGCCAGATGCGGTGGCCTAGCAGTTATGTTATACTTGACAATGATGGAGTCACATGAAAAAGTCCCAGGTTCGTGCCCCGAGATCTCCCTGTACACACAGGCTGCCTGTGATCCTGTTTGGCTGAAGCTGGGAGGAGGATTGCGAAGACCCTCTTGGGGTGCCTGTCTGTCTCTATATATATATCTCTCTGTCTCTCTCATAGAATAAATAAACTTAAAAAAAAATTGAGAGTCAGAGGTAAGCCAGAACCTTAATGAGATCCCAATTCAAAGGGCCCACAAACCTTAGAACGGTTAAGAATCACCGATGAAGATTTTATGCATTCACACCTGTCCCAGATAAACTCATTCCAAACTCCCATGACATTCACAGTGTGACAAGAGTGGCTAAGTAGTTCAAAGTTGAGCTTAAATGCTCAGTGAACATCACAGGACTGGAGAGAAAAGCAATGAAATGGAATCAAAGTGAAATTACGGAAAGAAAACCCACGGCTTTAATTAGATTGCATTTTATTTAGATAAACGAGAAGCTGTCCCCAAACAAAACTAGGAAATCAAATATCGTCTCAGACTAGAGGTCACTGCTAAACTCGAACTTTACACCAAAAGCTAAAATGTCCAGCCCTTGACTATATGTAGTTTCAAACATTGAAGGAAAATACTGGAACAAAGTATCTATGTACAGAGAGGCGCAACTTATGGGTACCCAAAGCAAAATCACCTGAGGGGGAAGACAATTCATGTTCCCCAATTATCAGAAGTGGTGAGTCTACAAATCTCGCATTGCTTTCTATGGTACATGGCTCCGTAGGAATGCCAAAAATAGCAAAATGTAGGCACTTGCTCGGACGTCTGCAATTTACATTTAATGAGTATGTACTTTATAAGTTAACAGCAGCTTCAAAATTATAAAATAGAATTGTATTTCATGCTACTGTTCGTGCTCCTCTTGGTCACAAAACAATGTCATCCAATGCACATAGATACAGAGCTTATACACAAGACATCCAGGGCACACCCAGACAGGAGGACAGAACGCAGAGTGGGGAAAGTTACTGCCGGGAACCTGGTGGCGATGGCTAGAATCACCAGGCCTTGTGCTGGAAGGAAAGACAAACACAAACAGGCTGAAGTGGAAGGACAGAACTGAAGTTAAACACTCGGTTGTTCATGAACTCCACACATCTTCTAATCTGTTCAAGAAAAGAGCACAAAGTTCCTTCCCGTAATAGAGAAGAAATGAAGTCAATAAAGTCAATATACCCTCACAAATTCTTATCGTCACCAATACTTTTTAGTTGCTCTTCAAAAAAGGACAGTGACATCTGGATTTCTTTTATGTCTCAGTTAGCAAAAAAAAAAAAAAAGAAAAAGAAATTAGATCAGAAGTTTTGTTTGTATTTTTTTAATTTGGGGATTTTAATATTTGATAATTAAGCAAAGGTGGCTGCTATATATACTTGAGGGTAAGTCCTAAAAAGATATGAACTGTTTTCCAACTATATGAAGTGTCTTAGAAATACAGTCAATCAGTTATGCAGTCAGGTTTGTTAAATAAGAGAGACTGCTCTCAGTTTTGGCAGCAATTTTTTTTCTTCTACAATTTAAATCTTATTAACTGGCAGGCAAAATTTAAATGCTCAAACTGGTCCTGAGTTTGAGTGAAAAGGAAGCAGCATGGATGCCAGGCCAGTGCGAGATGCAGAAAAGTGGAACTTCACAAGTAATAGGTGCCAGTCGATCGTCTGACAACATCCCGCATGGATCATTAGCATGACTCAGCATTTTGACATTTCTACGGTTTTCTCAGACCATCTTTTAGGCAAGGCATTTCTGCTATTAAGCCCTTTTAACATTCCTTCCTAGAGATGCTCGCCATTGTTTGAAACTGAAAATATTATCACGGAAAATTGACTTTTCTGAAAATGAAGGGCGGCAGAATTACCTCAGTGATGTCCGTCTGAAAACCTACTACTGGCTCATTTCAGCAAAGGCATCTCTGTCATGGCTCTCCCTGAACTCCACCTCGAATCAGTACAGAGGGATATTTTCATGTATTTCTTCATTACAGAGTTTCAGCTCATCTACGAGTGTTAGCTTAGCATTATTTTTCGATCCAATCCAGTAAACATAGACCCCGGGCTTCCTCATATCTAATAAAACCAGCAAACCTATGTGAAGCAAATGCTTTATTTAAACCAGTTGTCAAATCACAGTTTGTCTAAATGAACAGAACGCACACTGTTCTTCCAAGAATGGGCAGAAATACGGCACAGACGCAATCCGGTATCCATCAAAAAACCACCTGTAAGGACCCTGACTTCTTTGGCGCTGCTTGTAAAACGCGCTCCAGCATCTAAGAGAAGACGCAGACCCTCGCAGCAGTCAGTTCTCCTCTTCACATGAAAAATACTGCACTACTTTGCCTCAGGATCAAGCTCCCTCATCTGTCCAAACAACAACAATTAGAAGAAAAGACTTGAAAGTTAATCCACCATGGAAAAAAAAAATTTCTTTCTGACCTCCACTAGACGCAAAAAGAAAAAGTTCACAGTAACAGTAGAACATTCTGTCCATTTCAAAATGTTTATTTTTAGGACGCTGCATAGTAGGAAAGTGACCAATTTCAGAGTACGACTAAACATAGACCTAGGCATCAGTGAATTCGAAAATAAAAATTGTACCTTCTGATCACGAATGTTATTTCTAGGAAGCTCTGCTTTTCACAGGTCCTAATCGAGGCTTAAAGCTTCCCAAGGCTTCGCCATGGCTGCAGGCCCTGTCATATACTGCGGGATACAAAAGGCAGGGGACTATCCTGCACATTTCCCTAAACATTAAGAAAAATATACAATAGATACAGAAGGAGGATTACTGAAAACATACACATAAATACATAAAGAATGATGCTCCAGTTTGAGAAGTAGAACTAGGTATTGCCAACTCCCATTTCGGGTTAAGAAGTTAGGCCCTTAAATCAGAAACATTGTATGGTGTCAGGGGAAACAGGAATAGCGTGGTCTTGAAACGAGGAAGTGTTAGACGGCTATGGCTCCTGAGGATGCCTCAGGATTGTCGGGGCCCTCCAGGAACGCGATTGAGCGGATGCGCCTGCTCTCTGGCTCTCCGAGTTCAGAAATAGTGCTCTCGACTTTCTTCAGCAGCATTCGTGTTCTTCTACTTGTCTTTGCATCCTGGTCTTGCAAATATACACGTGTAACTGCAGAAGGAAGAAAGAATCGGAGTGAATATGATCTCTTTTTCTCCCTTGTTTATTACCAGCACAAGAGTTGGTAAGAGTGACCTGTAGCAAATGGGGACCCCAAAATGACCAGAGTTGAACCTCCTTAAAAAATAAAAACAGAGATGGTCCACTGTTATCTCATACCACTATAAACATAGTGGCTACAGTTCCCCAGTGTCTACAGTCAGATTTATCATGTGCAATTGGATGTTTTAAAATGCTTGTTACTAGGGCCACCCAGTGGCGTGGTGGTTACGGTGGCTGGATCCCATATAGCTGATTGTACGGTTTGAGTGCCAGACCCAGGGGGGCTTGAAAAATATGCCAGGTGTGTAGCGTGCATGCCCAAAATCTTGAGAGGGGAATGGAGAAGGGACTGCAATGCAGCCATCTCCTCCCACTTTCTCTTTCTCTTTTCTTTCCCTTCCTTCCTTCCTTCCTTCCCTCTCTTTCTCTCTCTCTGCCCCCACCCCAGCAAGCACACATGCCCTATAGCAAAATTTAAAAAAAAAAGAAAGTTTTTTGCTACTGCTTGAAGTAACTTTTTTCTAAAACCTCTAAATTTAATTTCAAGCAGGTTGATATAAATCTACTTTTTAGCTGCTAGTGATAAAAATGAAGAAAAAAAAATCACTTAATAAAATCTCAGAGCCAGCCCTGTGGCTTAGTAGTTAACAGAATCACATCCACATGGCTGACCCAGTTTGTGTCCTGACCCTGGTGGCTTTTAAAGCATGTTGGCAGGGCCAACAGGTATGGCTGACCATGGTGTGAGTTCCAGACCTGGTGGCTGGAAAATCTCACCAGGTACGTGTGCATGAGTGCAGTCCCAAAATCCCAAGAGGAGAATGGAAGAGAAGGGATGGCAGTGTGGCCATCCCTCTGAAGAGTGATTTCTCACTTTCTCTCCACTGTCTCTCTCGGTCACTTTCTGGTGAATGCATGTGCCCTATAGCAAAAATCTTAAAAAAGAAAAGAAAAAGAAAAGCATGCTGTCATGTATGTGTGTGTACTCAGAATCCCAATGATATAGAAAAATGGAGGAGGAAGGATTATGGCATGACCACGCCCTACCGGGGGTGCCTTCCCCCTGCCTCCCCTCCCCTGGCCATCTCTCTTGTCTCTCTCTGGTGAGTCTGGTGAATACATACACCCCCTGACAAGTTAAAAAAAAAAACCCTCAAATTAGTTGGTATGGTGCTGAATGAGCACAATGTACTTCTTGTGCCTCTGAAGCAAACACACATGTGCACAGACACACGCCCCTTTATTTTCCTCTGGAGTCGTCACATGCGGGGTTAAAATGAAGCCATTATTTTCATGACATCAGTAAGAGTAACTGGCATTTCTTTAAGAAAAGAAACAAAACTATTCTGGCCCTTTGGAGTCTAGTTGATAGTTACTTCCCTAATGAAGGTTTGGCATAAAATCATAATTATCTGAACTCCCCGATCCTTTATAACCAATTTTCCATTTAATGGCGTGAAAGAGGAAAAAGCTGTTCTAGAAGCAAAGGAAGCTGACTTACATGATGCTTTAGGATTCGGCGAGTTCTGCTGTGGCTGACTCTCTCTCTGGTTTCTGTGTCTCCTCCTGGGCGTGGGCTCTGGTCTCGCCGTCTTCTGACTCACTGTACACTTTGCCTTCCTGAAGTTCCACTTCCTGGGGGGCGTCCTCCTCTGTTAGTTTTGGTCCGTTTGCATCTGGGGACTCTTTGGTTAAACCTCCTGAGGCATCAGGATCTGCCAGGGCTGAGCTTGGGATCTCAGGGTCGTCAAGGGCCTCATCATTTTTGTCTTCTTTGGATTCACATAGTGGCTTCTCTGCCATTTCTCCTAGCATGGTGCGACTATCGTCTTCTGACACAGCCTCTGTTCCGCTTCTGCCTCCCTCTGCTTTGGATGGGAGAACAGCCTCTTCGAGCTGCTTGTCATTTACACTGGAACTTTCCAACTCATCAGTCATGAGCTGTTCTGAAGCTTCACTTGCTTCTTTGGAGACATCGGCCTGAATCTGTCCCAGGGTGGGGAGCTCCGACTGCTCTCTGCCTGGAACACTCCATGTTCCATCCTGTGCAGGGGCCTGGCCCGCACATCCTTCCTTGTCCATTTTCTGTCTAGCTCCCTGGCTGTCGGAGTTCATCAGGGGAACCTGAGCCTGAGCCTGAGCCTGGGCAGTAGAGGGAAACGTCTCAGGAGCCGTTTCTTCCGTGCGTACAAACTGGTCAACGGCCGTCTGAATGATGTTTTGGACGAGTTTATTGCTCTTGGTCTCAAGTTCCAAAATCTCACATTCAGCCTTTAAAGCTTCCTCTCTCGTTACACTCACGTTGACTTCCTGACAAACCACCTCCTCGTCGATTTCCTCTGTCTTCTGCTTCTGTGACGTGGTTTTCTCTCCTTCCAGGTGACAGCCTGGGCCCTTCTCAGGAGTGCACAAGGCTACAGGTGGTGTGGATTCCGCCTGAGACTCAGGCCGTGTGGACGCAGCATCTTCTCCTGCCCAAGCAGTGACATCTTCATCTTTTTCAGAGGATTTCTCTTCCAGTACTAAATGCGCGCCTGCCAACTGCAACGTTTCACCTGTTTCTAAAATTCTGACCGTCTCTCCTAAGACTTTCTCCTCCACTGCTGCAGCTGTTAGGGCGAATGATTCCTCGGAGCTCTGAATTTGAATTCCGGTGCATGCTGCCTCCTCGAGGCACTGAGGAAGGCTCCCTTCGAAGCTGTGCACTTCCTTCTCCCCGTCTATGGTGGCCACACGAAGCGTCTGGACGAGCTCCTTACTGCTCTCTTCAGATACAGTAACAGCTGGTTTCCGCTCAACCTTCTCTTCACTCACTGGGGTTGGCTTGGCTTCCACTTTCTCCCTTTCCACTTCAACTCCCACCTCTCCCACCACTGGGGTTGAAGGACGACGACTCTGGTGTTCGATACTGTCATTCTTTTGACACTCAGCTTCTTCAGTCGCTTCATCTTTAAGCACGACCTCAGATACCTTCTCCTGACTGACCGCAACTGTGTCCACAGGCACCTCGGGTCCTCCGGCAGACGGTCCATCTTGGGTGTCCTCATCAGCACACCGGCCAGCCTCTTGAGTCAGCTCAGCCTTTGACAGAATGGGTACAGGGTCCACTGATAACTCGCTATCTGTATGTTCTAGAATTTCTTCCGCTTTGGACTGTTCCTGATTTTCTTCCTGGGATGGAAAACCAGAAGGCGCTGGAGCTCTCTCTTCCTGTGCTGGAACCTCCTCTGCTTCTGTGTCCCGAGACTGGGTGTCAGGTGCAACGTCACTGTCTTCATGGATGTCCATGATTTTGTCGTGCTGTGTTGTACCCAGAGGTTCAGACTCTGCTACTCGGGTGCTTCCATTGGTCTCACTGTCCATAAGGGTTTCAGCTGAGTCAGGGGGAATGGCCTGTTCTACCACAATCTCCTGCAATTTTGCCTCTGCCAAAGGTTCGGCTGGACACGTAGGTACAAGCTCACTGGATTCTAGAGTCTCTGTGACTTGCGGGGCTTTATCAGAGCTTTCTGGGGTGGCCCCCGGTGTTAAATCCTCGGCTTGAGTTTCTTGTCCCTGCACCATCAACATGACACCCATCTCCTTCTTCGGATCTAGCGCTCCAGAATCCTCTTCCGTTTCTGACTCTCCTTTCCGCGTGGTCTGAACCGTGTCTTCTGGCCCACGGGTGTCGAGCAGCTGGGACTCCTTCACTTTTTCTGCAACCGCCTGCAGGACTTCTTGCGTCCGCCTCTCTCGGTCTTCTGTGTCTGGGACGCCATCTTCAACCTCCTGAACTGGTGTGGCTTCCTCTGTGGTATTTGGGGAGTCGGTGAGCTGGGAAACAGCCGACACCATCTCTGTGGTTTCTTCGGCGCCAGAAGCTTCAGTGACTTCTTCAGGACCAAATGCCCCTGTGGTTTCTGCAGCTGTCGAGATGGCAGCAGGTAATCCCCCCTCGCTCACAACCACGTCACCACGGGCATCTCTGCTCTCTGGCAAAGTTTTGGTAACCAGGAGGGGCTCTTCTGCGATGGTTTCTCCTACCACGACCTTGCCAGTTAATGGTCTGGTTTCGTCTTCTGCTAGTTCCAGGGGTCCTGTCACTGAAGCAGAAATCCAGGAGGGGGACCTTTCTTCAATACTGGTGACTGCCCTTGTCCCATCGACCACCGCCACAGCCACTGTATGCACCAGGGTCTTACTGAGCTCCTCAGACACGTAAACAGCTACCTTTTGCTCGGGCTTCTCCACCCCTTCCTGGGCTTGCTGGGCTTCCATTTTCTCCCTTTCTACGGCGTCATACTCGGACAGAGGGACGACAGCGGGGACATCGGAATCATCCTCGTTGACCTCTGTGGGCCCGGTCTCTTCCACAGTGGTTTGCTCTTGTTTTCCATCTGCCCTTTTCTTCCTTCGTCCCGGAATAAATTTCTTAATTGAAACCCAAGACTCTTCTCTCCCAGGTTCGGCATCTGAAGCTGAGTGTTCGAGACCAGATCCAGCTACAGAGTCTTCGTTTTTCTCCTCCATTTTGGACTTGGACTTTTTTCTGGCAGTGACTAATCGTTTAAATGACTCCCAGGTGGAAACGCCCTCTCCTTCCGAAGGGCTTCCGGCCTGCTCAGGTGAGGAACTTCCTTGCCCTTGATCGTGTTCTTGGGAACTAGGGAGAGTGGCGTCTGTCCCTGCGTCTCTGTCTTTTGCAGCGTCATCCGCTTTCTGGCTGTCTCCCGCCGTCTTGGGGCCCCCCTCCTCATCGGAGGATGATGCTTTCCGTGCTCTTTTCTTGGAGGACCCCACACAGATCAAGGCTTCCCAGGACACAGAGGTGTCGACCCTGCGCTTTGGTTCTTCTGGCTTTGGCTCGTCCCCCTGGCGTTTCGTTTCCTCCGGCATTTCTGAGGCTGCGCTCTCTGTGGAAGACAAGGTGGCGCTCTTCACCTTGTCCACCTCGTCCTCTTTATCGCTTTCCGACGGCCTTCGCACGCGTTTCTTGGGTGTCACCATCTTTTTGAAAGATGCCCAGGGAGTCACCCCTTCTCTTCTTTTCTCTCCATCAGAGGTCGCCCCTTCTTCTGCTTCAGCATCCTGGGGTGCCTCTGTGATCCCTCGCTCCAGACACGTGATCTCCTCTGGCTCCTCAGGGGAGGATGCGGAGCTGTCCCCCTTCTGCTCGTCAGTGCTATCTGGGGACTCCGCGGGAACCTGGTTGTGCTCCCCGGACTCCTCGTCTCCTCCTCCTCGTCTCTTGTGTTTCTTTCCAGAAAGCTTCTTTAAGCCAGTGCTACTGAACAGCTTCTTTAAAGGGCTTCCCTGCACCTTGATCCTCTCCTGTGATGACAGTATTTCCACCTCAGTGACGACGCCATCAGGGTGCTTCGACAACGCCTTGTCATCGGGGCTTAACTCGGCTTGCTGGAGGTGGTCCCCTCCTGGGGCACAGACCTCTCTGGTCTTCCCCAGCTCCTCGGCAGGTTCTGCTTCCTGAAGTTCAGCCTCTGTTTCAACGAACTTTTCTGGGGGCAAAGATCCTGCTTCTTCCTCCTCCGCTTTCTGCTCCCCAGTTTTCTGCTCCGAGGTGTCGACATGCACCTCTGCTACCACTTCCTGGTGCACATCTACGCTTTCATCAAATACTTCTGTTGCCAGGGGAGCTGATTTCTCTTCGGAAGGTCCCTGCAGGTCGTCACCCGGATCCTCCGAGGGCAGCTCCACTTTCTCGTAGTCGGCGGACAGCCTGGCCTCCTGGCTGCTCTCCAGTGGCTCCTGCGGACCAGGCTGCTCGGACGCGGTCAGTTTCTCGCAGGTGTCTTCTGTCTTCTCTTTGTCCTCTGTATCTCCTTTTTCTGGCTCTGACTCCTTTTTCTTCTCTGAAGCTTCTAGCTCATCCTCCTTGGGCTTCCTGAAACTGGTCTTTTTCCGCCAGCCAGCCCAACCTTGAGTGAAGAATTTTTTGAAGGGTGATGCTGTTTCACTGGTCATGGGGCTGGTCGGGGATTCTGCAGGCTTGCTGGGCTCTTTTTCTGGTTTTTCTTCTCCTTCCTCTTTGCCCCCCTCTGCTACGGGGCCAGACTCAGCTTGAGGAGGGGTTTCTGTGCTGCTCTGCTCAGGCCTTGGGGTTTCTTCAGGCTTCTCGACGGGCTGCTTTAGTTCGCCTTCTTTGGGTGCTGCTTCTCCACTATCCCAGCTGGGCTCCTGGTGGTCGCCAGCCCCGTTTGAGCCCCCTGCTTCTTCCCCTTCATCTTTTTTGACAGTGAGTAGTTGGACAGCATCAGACTTCTCGGTCTTATCCTTTTTCACAGTGAACTTAAAACCAACAAACTTAAACACCTTCTTAAATCCAACGTCACTAGCCTGGGACTCGGGTGGTTGGGTTAACTCTTCTAAGTTGCTTTCTGAAGAAGGAATCTGTTCAATTATTTCAGGCATTTCCTCCTGCACATCCTTCGCCATGTCTTCAACAGCCGTGGAGCTGGTCATCTCTTTATCGGGGTCTCTTTCATTCACATCTTCAGACTCTCTCTGTCCAACTGTTATTAAAAAATAATAATAATAAGAGGGGAGAGGGAGAAATGATTACAATTCAAGAAAATTAATGATTTTTAAAACACAAGCAATTAATGCTTTCACTGACATTAAACAACTCTAGGACAGGATAAGAGTCTGGGTATTTATAAATCTCCATAGATCAGGCAATGTCTACTTTAAAAATTCAGATCCAAAGGTACTACTCTGCTCTTTCCGATCCCTATGAAAGGGAGTTAAGGAACTCAACTATCAAAAAAAAAAAAAAAATAGTTCATCCAAGTGGCCACAACCAGGGGTGGGTCAACCAGACAGCCTGTCTTCTGTTGCAATGTAAAAGGAACCACACATCACCCTTGGGGGGGATGATTTCTCATTTTCTGTCTCCCTAATGAGCACACGCACCTAATAGCAAAAATCTCTCTCAAAAAAAAAAAAAAAGTTTAACACAATCTGAGCATGAAGAACCAATCACACAAATCCACAATGAAGGACATTCTGCAAAACAACACACCTGACCTGAGATGTCAGTGTGACAAAGGACAAAAATCAAGCAAAAATGCAAGAGCGTTGTCTGAAAGTAGCTGCCAACTAGTTAAAGAGGTCTGGGAAAGAATGGGGTAACAGTCATAATTGGTGAGTTAGGTCAAGCGTGTGCAGGTGCCTATTACATTTTCCTGCAGGCTTTAAGTATTACCAGTCATCGGTGGGAAAAAGCAAGTCAGTGTGATTTCATGAAGGGGGGGCGTTCTGTCTCGATTAAGAGACTTAAAGACACAGCATCTAGAGATGCTAGCAGTGGTCTTGAATTAGGCATGTGTTAGGGGTAATCCGAGGTCTGAGGTCTGAGGTCCCAGGTCATCTACAGGACAATCCGAGGTCTTACTGAGAAAATCTGAATAGGATTTGGGATTTGATGAGATAATTTTTAATTAAATAAAAAGAAATTTTGACCGAAGGAAGTAGATTACCACACAGTATATTCATTAACCTCATTCTGGCTTAAAATCAAAACGGTGTCTTCTCTCTCTCTTTCTCTCTCTCTCTCTCTCTCTCCCCCGCACACACACACACACCTTCACATATGATCTCTGAGAGGTAGCACTGTGATATATTTCAGCTTTGCTTGTCGGATTTTTCTGTTTTCTACATAGGACATATTCTGCTTTCTATAGTAAACAATAAAGGTCAATTAAAACTGGTATCAAAAATGGTCTTAACAAAGACTACAAAAATATACGCAAATGTTCTCAGCACAAATGGAAGCTTAATAATTGTAACCAGCAACTACACCAGTACTTAGAACATAGCAATAAATATTTGGAATAAGAAATGTTTAGAGATACAGAAACAATACACCTCTTAAAATCCATAAATCCTTCAGTTTATATAACCTTACTGCTCCATGCAAACAAGTTTATTTTCATCTTTATCAATATTATAAATCTACATCTACAAATTTCCATTGTGCTATTTATTCGGTTTGACTTTGAAACTGAAGCCCAGAAAATTAAGTGAAAAGCTGCATAAGGTGGGGCCAGCAGGTGGCATAGTAGTTAAGGGACTGGACTCCCACGTGGCAGGCCACGATTTGAGTCCCGGATAGGGCGGCTTGAAGCTCATGCTTCAAAGGGTGTGCGCGCGTGTGTGTGTGTGTGTGTGTATGTGTGTGTGTGTGTGTGTACATGCCCTAAGTCCCAAGAGGAGAATGGAAGAGAAGGGACTAGGGCATGACCACCGCCCCCCGGGGGTGATTTCTCACTTTCTCTTTCTCTGACTGTCTCTCCAGCATGCACATGTGCCCTATGGCAAAAACCTTAAAAATTTTTTTTAAAAAAAAGACTGCTAAGATTTTATCAAGTCAGGGTAGAGCTTGGTGTGCAGTCTTGTTTCAATGTGCCCTATACTATGCTATGAGTTGACCTAATGTTATCTCTAAAACTTGGCTTTCCGAACATTACTTGATGTTTAGATATTTAAAGATGAAATTCATAAATTATCTGTAGTCTCGCTCTTATTCTCTCTCCCTCTGCTTTAGCAACAATGCTACACAGACTTCCTCTTCCTCTGTAAGAGCTCTGGTGACCAGTCAATTCTCACTTATCCTGACATCAACATCTAAGGTAGCATTACAACAAAAAGCAAAAAAGGTAAGAAAAAAAATCCCCAAATGAAACTTTACAGATAGAGAAAAAGATTTGTGATCTGAAGTATATTTCCTAAAAGATTTTCCTTTTCCTAAAATAAATAAAATTAAATAAAAATAATTATTTAAAAAGAAGAGGGGGAGGCAGCAGGTGGCATGGTGGTTAAGAGCACTAAACTCCTACATAGCCGATGGCAGTTCAAGTCCCGGACCTGGCGGCTTGCTTTTTCACTTTCTATCTCTGGCCAAATTCAAATAAATAAATAAATAAATAAAAATAATTCTTTAAAAAAAGATGTTCCTTTTTCTTTTTAAAAAATAACTATAAAACACACTTTTTTTGGGGGGGGTGCTATAGGGCACGTGCACTCGCCAGAAAGACAGTGAGAGACAGAGAGACAGAAAGCAAGAAACCACCCCCCCAGGGAGGTTGGCCACGCCGCAATCCCTTCTCCTCTAGTCTCCTCTCGGGATCTTGGGCACGCACGCACAAGTGCCTGGAGTGAGTTTTAAGCCACCAGGTCCACGACTCGAACAGCAGTCGACTACGTGGGAGTCCAGCGACATAGCCATTATGCCAACTGCTAGTCCCAAAATACATATTTTTTTACTTCAGAGGAAAATTACCATCTACACAAACATCAGGCCAAATATTCAAAGAGAAAGAAAAAAAAATCAGATATATTTGATTAGACTGTCCAGATCCTACACCAGATTTTAAATATATTTTCCCTGTTATTTTCTAAAAGCATATATTGGGTAGCCAGGAAAGGCATGATGCATTTTTGCATAGAAAAAAATTGAAAAATATGTCATGATTTTTCCAACGACCCAATATAATCTTCTAAAATGAGTAGAGAGTGCTTTAAGTTTCCATTTGTTCCTTTTACAAGCCACTAATCAACTTGCTTATGGTTAATCTAAGTATTTCTTTAAGTGCATTTCTATGAACTATTTCTTTTAAAATGTTCCCAATTATAAAAGCATGCTCACCAGAGAACTTCCCACAAATACTTCTAGTAAGATGCAAGAAAGATGACTTTCTATTTTAAAAGGGTGATTATCACTGGAAATAGTTAAACCCCAATAATAAACTCTATTCTGGTACAATTTTACTATTAATAAACACGTTATGTAAATTAAGGATCATGCCTGCAAGCATGAGGTTAAAAACAAAGACCCATTATCCTCTCTAGAATTAGAAAATACAAAAACATTTTGCTAACATAGTGGGCAGAAAGCAGGTGTGGGTTACAGACACCCTACCCCACCCCCCAACCGTCTCCTTTCATGCTCCTAAACCTGTCTCAATTTGAAACTTTCTTTTTTTAATTCTCGGAATGAAATTTTTATGGTCAAAACTAGGGAGACAAGGAGGATGAACAGCTGCCAACTGGCAGAACGAAGTAACTATTGATAGTTTGATACAGCTTAGAAAGAACCAGATGTTCTCTTTCTGCAGAGTAAATGAATGCAAAAGAAAAAAAGGTATATAGGAAATGTAAAGATCGTAACTGGCCAGCTGCTCTGGAGTCTTACACCTAAGCAATCCTAAAATTTACAATTGCTAGAGCAGCCTCCTCGGCGTCCTGGCCTCTATGTTCTGTTGGACCGGCGGGGCAGGCGGAGCTCGGCCCTGATTTCACCCCCTGCCTGCCGTTGGAGCCAGGTGCACCCGCACAAACCTTCCCGAGAGGCCCTGCTTCCTGAATGCCGTCTATCACATCACTGCGCAGTGGAAGGTCCCACGACTCAAAGCCTGGAGGCCTGCCTGGCCTGGTGGCCAAAGCCGTTTAAATGAGGTTCCAACATAAAAGCCAACTGTTCTCGCGCTGCGCGTTCCACGTGTGTACCCCACCCCCACACCGTGTGCATCCACGGGTGTCGCATTCGACCTGCGTGGCACATCTGGTCCCTCACCTACACAGCCCCAAGTTGTACCCAGGCAGCGGGCCTGGTTCCCCCCCACCACGTCCTGCGTCCCACGCTCCAGGCCCTTGACTTAAGAGCTGGATCCCCGTGGTTTTTTGGAGGCTGGGTCATTTCCTGTCTCCCCGGGCTACTCTAGCCGTCTCTACTCCAGCCCCACGCCCCTTTTGAGGTAGGATCTCCTAGGCTGTGTTGTCCACCTGGCAAGGAGGGATGTCCTCCGAGGCCATCCCTGACTGCAGCCGTGTCCCTGTTTGGTTGGGCTGTGGGAGCACAGGGCCTAGCACAAGTTGCACAGGACCTGGGACACGGTGCTGCCTTCCCAGCCCTCCGCAAGCTGGGTGCAGGGGGCAGGTTCTGCCGCCATGGACTGGAGTGCAGTGGGCACCCCTGGGCCCTCCTGCGCCCTTGCCTGCCTATCCCGGCACGGGCCGCCCAGAGGATGGCTGGGACCCATCTGCCATTGCGGCCCTGGGTGTCAGTGCCCGCCCTGTCCTGGGCAACCGCCACTGGGGGCGCACTACTCACAACAGAGGTGACTCCACCAGGGCATGGCGCGCCACTGGCCGGCAGGGGCAGGGGCAGCCCGACAGAGGCCCGGGAGGCCCAGACTGCCTCTCCCGGCTGCCCCATCGCTGGATGGAGACTGG